CAATCTCAAAAGTTTCTCCCATTCCATGCAAACATTAGTTTATAAACCTTTACACCTCCATATGATTTGAATTATGTGGATATTTGCTGTATTTTTTGTGTGTGTTGGAAGCGCCGCAGGCTGCTCCTGATGTAATTCAGCTCTTACTAGCTCTCGCAAAAAGCACTCAAAGCATTTTTACTAAATTATCGTGAAATGAAGAATTAATGGAGAAAAAAAGACGGGAGTCGTTTTAGAACAGCAGCTATCCATTAGCTCGGCTGTTGGGTCAAAATTAAAAGTTAATTCTCCAAACTAAAGAACTATCTACAACAGGTAAGATATTGACTTAGCATAACCTTCCCTGAAAACCCATCTTCAAAAGATCTGAACTTTAGGAATATATTTGATTTTGGCTCTCTTCTAGCCAAGAGACTTATTTTATGCAGATGGAAGGATCCACACCCCCCGACATGTGAACACTGGATAAGAGAAGTCATCTGGAAAAGACCAGATATACTTTGAAAGGTTCTGTGAAGAGATTTTGGGACACTTGACAGCTATTCGTCTTTTTTTTATTTCATTCAGCCTTTATTTATACAGGTTGTTACGTTCAAAATATGTCAATGCCTGCCTGTTTAATGTTCATGTCTGTGCAGCTGATCCAGTGTGGGAGAAATTTTTATTATTTTGTTGTTTTTCTTATGTGTGTGTTCTAGAAAAGAAAAGGTCAATAAAAAGACTTTCATTTAAAAAAATCGGAACTTTTAATTTCAGCAATAAAAGGAAACTTTAAAAAAAAGCTGTATTAACTAAACATTTTTTCCAGAGTTTTAAATAAATCATTGTGGCAAAATGTTCTAACATATTTTCAAGCTTGCACCATTTTGTCCAATGAATGCCACTTCTGAGAGGACCTGAATGCACCATCCTCTATAACGGTGGGTAAAAAAGATCAGCAGCTGAACCCACCAAGTTAGATACGTGAAATAAGAGTGAATCTTTTCTGGTTGGTCTCATGTGACGTCAAACAGAACTAATGGGACGCACGTCGCCCATCACCTTTCATGTCAGAGTTTCATTTATTACTGGGAGATGTCACTCTCACAGTCTGTGCTGAGGAATAATTTGAAAACTACATTAGTCCATCAGTTCACAAGATATTTTGCTAACAGACAGGCACCACAGCACACTAACTGCAGGTGATGAGCTCTCTAGAGGGTTCAACATTGAAGTTCATGCTCAACATCCAGGTAAAAAAATCCAACAAAGTTCAGTCAAGTCATCTGGATGGTTTCTTTTTGTTGAGACGTTTTGTCTTTCATCCAAAGGACTTCTTCAGTCCGAGGAGCCCCAACAAAATCAGTCCCACAAGCAGCACGCTCATATAGTTCCTGTTTTTAGTTTTCTACACCGCCTTATACTAGCTGTTTTTTTACTACTTTTTCCTTTTGGCCGTCCTTTTGGTTGCCATTTTATTTTAATTTGTAAAAATAATAATTAAATTTGCCTCTTTTATGGCTGTCTTGTTGTCGTCGTTATTCACTGTTGTCATCACTCGTCGTTAAATCAGGACTCTCTTGTAAATGAGTCCTCGAGGCTCAATGGGATTATTAACCAGTATAAATAAAGGTTGAACTGAATAGTGGGCCAACCAGCTTGATGGTGACAAGATGATTTCTGGAGCCCGCCCTCTCCCCTGCTGACTCGTCAGCCATGGCCAAAGTAGTTGAAAACATCAAAGTTCTCCTCGGTTGTTCATTTGATGCTCTAAAATGTTTTCACCTACAAAACAAGCAGAAATCAAACCAAACTAGATCCAGCGCTGCTGTTGTTGGAAATGTGTTGTGTCAAACAGAACATGGCAGGTGATTTCATTATCTGGGCTCTGGAAGGTGAAATTGTGCCGAGATCTAATTTCGTCCGAAGACGTTTGGTCCGAGAGCCAGATTTACCCGGAGGATTTTAGGCTCAAGTTACTTCCTGCTCGTCCACAGCAGCAGGAAGACAGGCAGATGTGAAGACAGGCAGATGTGCTGAGGCAGAAACCGTCACTGTTTAGGTCAAAACAGAAGGGATGATAACAGAAAACCACGCTGGCAGCAAGCTGCACTAATTTAAAACGTTTAATAACAGAACAGCACACAGGAAGTCATGGAGCAGGGAGAGCTGCTGTTTCTGGGCGGCTGGTTAAACTTTCATCACTTCGTAACGATTCCTGCAGAATTTGCTCAGTGATGCAGCAGAGCTCGTGTGTTTGTCTCTCCCTGAACATCATGAAGTGCTTCTGCTTTGACCTCCGAGCTCGTTTGGACCTAAAGCGTGTGCTGCCAGCGCTGATGTTGCCCCCGCACTTCGTATACTGTTGTGTTTGTGTGTGTGTTCTGTTTGGGCCCTTTGTTTGTGGAGCCGGGCCCTTCCTGCCCTCCGCTGAGCGCTCCCGGGCCATGAAGGGATCTTTGTCTGGGGATGCACACACAGTCCTCATGATTTGCATGCTGACTCCATCTGATAGACAGTATGAGTGAGAGCGATATATTTGAGGACTGATTAACTGAGGGTTGTGGTCAAACAGGAATTAAGGGTGACGAAGGCGCTGAAGCACCCTCGTTACAAAAGTACGCTCGATTGCTCAACTCAATGACTTTAGCAGAAATAAACAGTTCCCCGGAGATGATTCTGGCAAAACAAACAAACTAGTTCTTATTGGAGCTCTAAAACATCATCAGAAGTTTTCCTGGGTCACAGACAGCTGGACTCAAAGTGACCAAACTCAAAATTTAGACTATTTTTCTATGAAATGGTCACACACTTTAACTTTTAAGCTTTCCAAACTTTCCACAGTTTTGCAAACTCTTTCTTTTGACTTTCAGACGCAGGTGTTTTTGTCCTCTTTCACCCAGTGTCTCTCTCTACTGTAGGACTTCCTGTTTCTTCTCGAGTGCACGCACCCAAACCCTCATTGACTTCCACTGAATCTGAACTCTTATGTTTACTCAGATCTCCAACATAAAACTCTGTAAACAAATAAAAATGGATGTGTGTGACAATTGGACGCTTCTGTCGAATCTACAGATCAGGAACTATTTTGAAATGACTTGTAGTTTTTGTAACTCTTTTTCTGAGGCTTGCTTTTTAGTCTGTGTTTCTGTCTCCCTGTCATATTAACAGCAGTGACAGGAACAGGTGTGTGGTTACCATGGTGACCCTTTAACGTAACATTTGATTTTGGCTCATTTTAAACTTTAATAAAGTTTATTCATTAAAACGTCAGTGTAGATGATTTCAAAATAAAAGCCCCAAACTGCATCAAAGTAAGTGGAATTTTGGGTTGAAAATACCTTGGCAGCCTTCAGCATTTCTACACAAAAATATGTACATTTTCTCATACTGATGATCAATAATTGTGAAAAACTTGTCCAAATCTGCCTCTTCATCTCTAAAGTAAAGAATAAACTGTAAATGTAGCGACTGCTGCTGAAGTGGGTACAAAACGAGCAAGAGATTAATGTGCACGGCCAAGAATACTGTAGCACAACCAGTGCTGGGATTTTCAAAGAGTGGTTGCCCAGAACGAGGCAGAGTTCAGAGAGACTGCAGCTGAATAGTGAATTGTCTCAATTTCTTTTTAACCAATTAGAGTAGTTTCCCAACAACTCAGTGAGACAGCAGGATTTCCGATGATTGTTGATGGTTGTCAGTTTTTTACAGTTTTGAAGTCAAAAAGTAAGACTAGTTAGACTAAACTACTTTAATATGAGCCACAATAGGTTGTAAAACCTTCTATTTCTTTGAAGACTGATACCGTGTTGTTTTGTGTATTATCTCCATCAAGGTCTGTGCAGCAAAATCCATTTATGGGTGTAAATTCTCTCAGCTAACTTACTATTAATCATCACAAATCTTTTTACACCTTACATTTTTGCTATTGTTGGATGTAACTGGGACCCTGTGTACACAATTTTGATCCACCTCATGTACCACATGCGAATGATAATAAAGAGCCAGCTGTCCAGGAAAACAGGTACTGTGAAGAGCTGAAGAAGAGAGGTCAGGCAGGATGGAGAGGATGGAGAAAAGTTTCAGGAGTTTGTGACAAAAGGGTGTCAGCAAAGGTCAAAGGAAAAGTTTACAAGACAGTGGTGAGACCAGCTGTGTCGTATGGTCTGGAGACAGAGACATGGACAAAAAGACAGGAGACAGAACTGGAAGCGGCAGAAATGAAGATGTTGAGGTTCTCCTTAGGAGAGACAAGGATGGATAAGATGAGGAACGAGATCATCAGAGGTACAGCACAGGTTGAACAACTGGGAGATAAAGTTAGAGAGACCAGACTGAGATGGTTTAGACATGTCCAGAGGAGGGACAGTGGGTATACTGGTAGAAGGATGTTAGAAATGCAGCTGCCAGGAACAAGACAAAGAGGAGATATATGGATGCAGTTAAGAGAGGACATGGAGTTGGAGTGAGGACAGAGGATGCAGAGGACAGAGATGGAGGAGGATGACTCGCTGAAAAGCAGATTAAACGTCAAGTAGAAAGTCCAGTTTTTGTCTCAGATTATACCAGCACCCTGTAGTTGCATCTTACTTTGCTCTGTGTAATCTCAAGACATTATAAGATAACACATTACTGCTTTAGAAAAGGTTGCTGTGGCGTTGCTGGTTATTTGGCCTGAATTTTTTTGTCTCTAGTTGCCATGACAGTTTAAAATTATTAGATCCATAAAAATATCCTTTTAGTTCAGAACCTCCTGTGGTTTGTGTTGGCAAAGTAATAATAGTTATTCTGTGCTTGGATGATGATGGATGATGGATGGATGGATGGATGGATGATGGATGGATGATGGATGGATGGATAATATCATGATGGGGTCTGTGCAGAGCCTGTGATGACCTGAGGCAGGGACAGGTGAGGTCCAGTCTTCTGCTCCCAGATTTTGGATCTTTCAGGGGGCGTGGTTTGCCCTGCTACGTCACTGATTGTTATATAGGCTGCAGCTGTGGCGATGCGCTCGCGCTGCTGAGACAAGCGGAGAACTGAGGACCGGCGGCGCGCGCTCACACACCCTCACGGAGTCTCCAAACAAAGAGAAGCACGCGAGGCAGCAGCATCCCTCTCAGCCCGCACCGACCCGCACAATCTCTCCCTCCCGTCCGAACCGGAGCCCAACAGAACCGAGCATGTCGACGAACGGCGCGGCGAACGGAACCAGCGACATGCTGCAGATCCAGTTCGGCCTCATCAACTGCGGGAACAAGTACCTGACCGCCGAGACGTTCGGCTTCAAGATCAACGCGTCCGCCAGCAGCATGAAGAAGAAGCAGATCTGGACCCTGGAGCAGACCGGGGACGAGTCCAGCTCCAACGTCTTCCTCCTCAAGTCCCACCTGGGCCGCTACATCGCCGCGGACAAGGACGGCAACGTGACGGGGGACAGCGAGAGCCCCGGGCCGGACTGCCGCTTCGTCATCACGGCGCACGACGACGGCCGCTGGTCGCTGCAGTCCGAGCCGCACGGCCGCTACCTGGGGGGCACCGAGGACCGCATCATCTGCTTCGCGCAGACCGCGTCCGTGGCGGAGAAGTGGAGCGTGCACATCGCCATGCACCCGCAGGTGAACCTCTTCAGCGTCACGCGCAAGCGCTACGCGCACTTGAGCGACAAGGCGGACGAGATCGCCATCGACCGGGACGTGCCGTGGGGGGTGGACTCCACGATCACGCTGGTGTTCCGCGAGCAGCGGTACCACCTGCAGGCGTCCGACAACCGGTTCCTGCGCAACGACGGCGCGCTGCTCGCCACCACGGACAGGAGCACGGGCTACACGCTGGAGTTCCGCTCCGGGAGGGTGGCCTTCAGGGACTGCAGCGGCAGGTACCTGGCCCCCTCCGGGCCCTCCGGAACCATGAAGTCCGGCAAGAGCGGCCGCGTGGGCAAGGACGAGCTGTTCGTGCTGGAGCAGAGCCACCCGCAGGTCGTGCTCACCGCGGGCAACGAGAGGAACGTGTCCACGCGACAAGGTGGGTGTGGTGGTCCGGGCCAGGTCTTCTGCCTGACAGCTGTGCGTGCGTGTGTGCGTGTGCGCGTGCAGAGGAAGTGTTGGAATGTGAGACTGCACCCCACCCCCCCCCCAGCACATCCTAAATGTATTGTGTGTGGGTTCTTTTTGAACAATGGCCTGCTTGGCCCTAATCCTCCCCCCAACAGGAGGATGGATCAGTCCACAGCCATGATGGTACCAGGTCCAACTTTAAGGTCTATAATGTCCGACCCCCCATACATAACCCTCAACAGACCTGCACCTCCTGCCAGGAAAGTAGTTAGTCTGGAAAGGTGTTGAAAAATACTGAGAAACATCAGTTTTCTTGTATTTTTACTTTTATTTTCTAAAGTTTTTTAAAGTTTCACTCACCAGGAGTGTCTCATTTTAGTGTTTTCTTTGGTTCATTCACCACATCAAGTCTTCAGATTAAAAGTTCCAGCCAACAGAATCTGACATGATCAACATGTGGCCCGTGGGCCAGAAGTGGCCCTCGGACGATCTCAATCAGGTCCCCAATGTCTTTAAATAAAGACGAAACTAAATGAGTTGATTAAAGCTGGCATTTTAGTGAAGAAGCTTGAAGTTTGGGGCGGCTGTGGCTGAGTGGTTAGAGCAGTTGTCCTCCAATGAAAAGTTGGGGGTTCGATTCCACCTGCAGTCACATACTTAAGTGTTCCTGGGCAAGACACTGAACCCCACTGCCTCAGATGTGTCCCATCAGTGTTTGAATGTGATAAAGCTCTGATTATTCTCTGTAGAGATCTAGTAGTGATGTATGAATGGGTACATGAGGGCAGATTGTAAAGTACTTTGAGTATCTTGATAAGTGCTATACAAGTATAGTCCATTTACCATCTTTGACCTAGATCAAAAAAGCTAATGTGCTAAAACATCTGGTTTGTGTTTCCAGGACGAGACTTGCTGTAAATGTCTTAAAGTTGAAATGGACTTGGATTTGCTTATTTGAAGCCAACAAACATTTGGCACGTTCCAGTTTACAGAAAGAACATCTGGTGTTCCAGGAGGGCTTCAGGGAGACATTTTGACGTTAGCATGCTAACTGCGCTACAGCTCGTCAAACAGGAAACGGAAGAACGTTTCCCAACTGATCTGTGTGGAAGAATTTAAATAGTTGTGATCCATGTTCAGCTTTTTGATTGTTTTTATGATGTGGCCTTCTGTGTCGTACCGTGGAGCCCTGTTACTTCCATTAGTAGGATCCTACGTGGTACATTGAAGTACTACTGCAGTACTTTTACCATGTGACCTGTGCTGAAGAAGTGTTCTTCTTCTTCAGATCAGATTTCAGCTGTTCGTCCGTGCAGAGAAACAAGCCTGTCCCTCCACCTTCTTCCTTCTGGTTTCCCTTCATCATTTTTTTTTTTTTTTTGACATCTGTTCCATTATGTCTCCCTTCAGCCTTCACTTCTCCTCCCCCACTCCTCCCTGCCCCTGCAGCCTGAGCTGGTCCCAGTTGTCAGTCGTTGTTGGGCGTCTACATGTTTAAATGCTGAAGATGAAGCGGTTGACTCCTCAGTAGGTCTGGGTGGAGAGGACTGTGGTGTGGACCGAACGTGACGAGGGACTGGAGCGCACGAGACTCTTTCCAAATCTCTGAATGCCGTCTTGGACGAGCACACTGGGAATACCGTGCGGTTTAGTGGCTTTGCTGCTTTTTCACAAAGCACGATCCATCTATCATTTTATTTTCCTATTGAAGAGTCGGTCCCACCCGGGGATGTTTACTCTTGTCCTGCTTTGTTTACTCGTCATAAGAACATTTCTCTTTTGATTGTTTGCTCCTTTTTAAAGAGGCGTTCTGCCTCAGACACAATGGAGGCTGCTCTGTATAACTTGGTCTACTTGAAACATTTCAGAGGATCTGACGGAAGAAAACGAGCAGTTTGTGTCAATGCAGTTTGGCATGTGTGGAGCCAGGCCGAAGAAAGGAACAGGAAGTCACCTCCAGGTTGACTGGGCCCCCCACCTGCAGGAAGGTCTGAGGTCGAGTGCTGTTCATGCTGGGCAGCAGGTGAGGGAGGGTTCCTGTCCACACTGATTCCTGGTGGTGTAGACCAGCTCTAGAGACGTGGAATCATTGACGGGTACAGAGCCGGAGCTTGTGTACGAGCTTCAGCTGTGGTTGGGCTCAACTAAGCGCAGTTTGGTCTCTGAACCCAGATCCTGGAGAGAGGCCGGACTCTCTTTGACTCTGGAGGTGTCCAGAGAACGAGCGGGTGTGGGATGCTCTCAAGCTCCTGGCTGAATGCCTTGGTGCTGGAGTTCTTCTCTGAAGGTCCTGACGGTTCGTGCTGATGCACCAAACATCAGCGCCGATGATCCAGCCTTTCTGGAGTCTCTGGATGGTGTCCTGGACAGGAGTGGGGATTCCCTCATTCCACTGGTGACTTCAGTGCCCATGTGGGCAAGAACAGTCATCTGGAAGGGGGTGACTGGGAGGAACGTCCTCCTGATCTGAACCAAGTGGTGTTCTATTGGACTCTGTGTGAGGCATCGTCCAGAACAAACACCATGTCTGAGCAAAGCATCAGTGTACTTGGTACCAGACCGCCTTAGGTCAAAGGTCCATGATTGATTTGTAATCGTGTCGTTGGACCTGCAGCCCCAGGTCTTGGACACTCGGGTGAAGAGAGGAGCAGAGCTGTCAACTGATCACCTCCTGCGGGGGGGGGAGAGTGGAACAGGTGACGAGGGAGGCTGTCAGACAGACCTGGTAAACCCAAACTCATGATGACGGTGAATATGGATTTAACTTCCTGTTTAAAACTGCAGCAGCTGTGCTGCTGACATGTTGCTGATGAAACAGCTCAGACGTCGCGCTAAGAAGAAACAATTGGACATTTTTGCTTGGAGGTTTAGAGGGTGGGCGTGTTGGTGACGCAGGAAAATAACGGCTGAAAACAGCAGAAAGGCGTAGAAAAGGCTGAACAGAGCAAACATTAGCAGAACAGGATGAAACGGGCAGAGAGAAGCTGAACAGATGACAAAAAATCTGAAACTAGTAAAAACTGAAATGAGCAGAAAAAAAGCACAATTACAATGGAACAAGCAGAGACTGAATAATTAAAATATCTGAAACTAGCAACAAAAAAAATTAGAAAAAGCTGAAATTGTCTAGAAAGCAGGTGACAAAGTTAAAAGCTGAAATTAGAAGAAGGAAGCTGAAGTGAGCAGAAAAATGGCTTTAAATAGCTGGATTTACCAGATGTAGCTGAAATTAGCACAAAGAGCTGAAGCAGAACAAAAGCTGACATGGTCGGTAAAAGGTTTAAAATGGCACAAACGATTTGAAGGATATAAATGGAGCTCCACATGTTTAGAACAGTCGACAGGGGAGAGGGTGGGCCTCTGAAACCATCTTATCACCAGCAAACTGGTTGGTCCACTGTAGGAGTGTACTGCTTGTGGGACTCGTCAGACTGATGAAGTCCTTTGGATGAAGGACGAAACGTTTTAACAAAATAAAACCTGAGCTGACTGAACTTTGTTGGAGTGCTCCATTTTCCATGAGGTTAATAAACATGGCTGAAAAGGCTAAATATTTCAAAAAGTAAAGGCTGCACCAAATGTCACAGCAGTAATGTCCAGAATGAGCCGAACGTTTTGAGACGTGAACTGTTGAAGTGGCACAAAAATGGCATCACAAGTTGCGTGCTGGGAAAAGGTGCGGAAGAAAAACGAATCGGTTTTCTTAATGGCTGCGCTGTGTGTGCCACTGGTTGCTGTTAATCTGATCAGGTTTCAGCTTGTGTGTGTGAACTGGGTGTACAAGAACAAACTGGTGTTGACTGGATTTTGCTCTGGTCTGTCATCAAATGGAACCTGAATGCAGCTCGGAGCTGCTGTTCTGGTTTCCTTCAGTTTCTCCTGATGTTGGATCATGCGAGGACGGCTGTACAGTTGTTGTCCCGACGAGGGAACGAGGACCACAGTCACTGCTCCACTTGGCATTCGATTGGTGTTGAACTAAACATGATCAGTGATTTAAAAATGCTGTCGTATGTTGTGATGAAGCTCCAACATCATCATAATCTTTGATCGTATCGCTCGGACTTCATTGTTCTTCGTGTAAACACCGCTTTATGAACCTTTGCACCGTCTAAAGTTTTGCGTTGTGCTGTCATTTATATAGGCATTTTTAGTTTCAAGTGCCGATGGTGGCAGCAGCAGCTAGCTGTAGCGCTTCTTCTGCAGCATGGTTAGCTTGGTAAACGAGTTAAAATGTTTATGAACCTCAATGAAATGTTGGTTTTAGTTTCACTCGCCGTTCGCTCGTCAGTCTGGTCAGATTTTAACCTTTTATATCCAAACTGAGGTTAACTTGGCTATCTACTACAGGTAAGATATTGATTTCCAGATACCCACCTTTAAAAGAGTTGTTACTGCTTTAAATCTCTAATGTTCCAAAGTATTGGACCCGTGAGGTCCGATGTGAAGTTTGCCGCTCAGCCCTTCCCTGCAGATGTTTGATTTTGACGTGCTGCGTCGAAGGATACACCCGTCAGGTTTTACACGGCTGTGTGTTGTAACGAGCCCAGTTCAGAGTTGAGTCCGACTCCAGAGGGACTGGCTCCTGAACTACAATCTGCGCGTACTGAGCTGCAGACCTGGATCTCTTCACAGGAAGGCCATATTTATCCACCAACTGTACGGCTGCGAGGATTAAACACGGAGTGGATTTAAACTGCCTCCAGATGTTCTGCTCACCCCGTCCCACAGCTCTGAGCCAAGATGCTGCTCCGGCTCTGCTGGGTTTCATTAGCAGGAGGTTTTTGGACGCGAGACAACTTCAACTGGGTCGATCCAAAACTGCTTCTATCCAATCACTGCTAGTGACTAAAAAAAAAAAAAGCTTTATACACTTAAACTCAGAAAATCTAGATAAGTCATCCGTTTTATAGTTGGGTCAAGATGTTCTTTCTCTTAAAATGCTGTTCTGTGGAAAGGCTGTAAACG